AGGGTGTTTGCAAGTGGGGGGGGGCTGCGCCCCCCCCCCCCCCCAACCCAAGCGTGCTTCAAAGCCCAAGAAACTAGTTGAGGAAAAAAACATCGTGTGAGCATTGAGTTTGCAGATGGGGGGGGCTTGCGCCCCCCCCAACCCCCCCGCTTTTTTTTTAGCCGTGCAGAGCGCGCTTCAAAGCCCAAGAAACTTGTTGACACCCATCATGTGAGCAGGGTGTTTGCAAGTGGGGGGGGCTGCGCCCCCAGCCCCCCCCGCTTCTTTTAAGCCGTACCAAGCGTGCTTCAAAGCCCAAGAAACTAGTTGAAAAAAAAAAACATCGTTTCGACAGCCAGACTATAGCATCCTTTCTGACGCAAGACCGTGATGTCTAGGGGGTTTAGTGTCGGAAGGCATGCGACCGGGCAACAGCCAGATTATTGATTATTGCATCACTATTGCATCATTGCTGAGGCAAGACCATGATGTCTAGGGTTCAGGCTAGCATGCTCACGGGAGCTGCAAGTAGGCGAGCTCAGAACGCAGAGTCATGAGCAAGGACCTGACGACAGCCAGACTATGGCATCGTTTCTGACACAAGACCGTGATGTCTAGGGGGTTTAGGGTTCGGAAGGCATGCCAGATTATTGCGTCATTATTGAGGCAAGACCATGATGTCTAGGGTTTAGGTTTAGGTTTGGGAAGCATGCTCACGGGAGCTGCGAGTAGGTGAGGTCAGAACGCAGAGTCATGAGCAAGGACCTGACGACAGCCAGACTATTGCATCATTTCTGGCGCAAGACCGTGATGTCTAGGGGGTTTAGGTTTCGGAGGCGTGCGACCGGGCAACAGCCAGATTATTGGCAAGACCATGATGTCTAGGGTGTAGGTTTAGGGTTGGGAAGGATGCTCACGGGAGCTGCGAGTAGGTGAGGTCAGAACGCAGGGTCATGAGCAAGGACCTGACGACAGCCAGACTATTGCATCATTTCTGACGCAAGACCGTGATGTCTCGGGGTTTAGGGTTCGGAAGGCATGCGACCGGGCAACAGCCAGATCATTGCGTCATTGCTGAGGCAAGACCATGATGTCTAGGGTTTAGGCTTATTAGGGTTTGGGAAGCATGCTCACGGGAGCTGCGAGTAGGTGAGCTCAGAACGCAGAGTCATGAGCAAGGACCTGACGACAGCCAGACTATGGCATCGTTTCTGACACAAGACCGTGATGTCTAGGGGGGTTAGGGTTCGGAAGGCATGCATGCCAGATTATTGCGTCATTATTGAGGCAAGACCATGATGTCTAGGGTTTAGGTTTAGGTTTGGGAAGCATGCTCACGGGAGCTGCGAGTAGGTGAGGTCAGAACGCAGAGTCATGAGCAAGGACCTGACGACAGCCAGACTATTGCATCATTTCTGGCGCAAGACCGTGATGTCTAGGGGGTTTAGGTTTCGGAGGCGTGCGACCGGGCAACAGCCAGATTATTGGCAAGACCATGATGTCTAGGGTGTAGGTTTAGGGTTGGGAAGGATGCTCACGGGAGCTGCGAGTAGGTGAGGTCAGAACGCAGGGTCATGAGCAAGGACCTGACGACAGCCAGACTATTGCATCATTTCTGACGCAAGACCGTGATGTCTAGGGGTTTAGGGTTCGGAAGGCATGCGACCGGGCAACAGCCAGATTATTGCGTCATTGCTGAGGCAAGACCATGATGTCTAGGGTTTAGGCTTATTAGGGTTTGGGAAGCATGCTCACGGGAGCTGCGAGTAGGTGAGCTCAGAACGCAGAGTCATGAGCAAGGACCTGACGACAGCCAGACTATGGCATCGTTTCTGACACAAGACCGTGATGTCTAGGGGGTTTAGGGTTCGGAAGGCATGCCAGATTATTGCGTCATTATTGAGGCAAGACCATGATGTCTAGGGTTTAGGTTTAGGTTTGGGAAGCATGCTCACGGGAGCTGCGAGTAGGTGAGGTCAGAACGCAGAGTCATGAGCAAGGACCTGACGACAGCCAGACTATTGCATCATTTCTGGCGCAAGACCGTGATGTCTAGGGGGTTTAGGTTTCGGAGGCGTGCGACCGGGCAACAGCCAGATTATTGAGTCCCCGCCGCTTCTTTTAAGCCGTACCAAGCTTGCTTCAAAGCCCAAGAAACTAGTTGAAAAAAAAAAAACATCGTGTGAGCAATGTGTTTGCAAATGGGGGGGGGCTGCGCCCCCCCCCCCAACCCCCGCGCTTTTTTTTTGGCCGCGCAGAGCGTGCCTCAAAGCCCAAGAAACTTGTTGACGCCCATCGTGTGAGCAGGGTGTTTGCAAGTGGGGCGGGGGGGGGGGCTGCACCCCCCAACCCCTCCCCGTTCTTTTAAGCCGTGCCAAGCGTGCTTCAAAGCCCAAGAAGCTAGTTGAAAAAAACATCGTGTGAGCATTGTGTTTGCAAATGGGGGGGAGCTGCCCCCCCCCCCCCAACCCCCCCGCTTTTGTTTAAAGCCGTGCAGAGCGTGCTTCAAAGCCCAAGAAACTTGTTGACACCCATCATGTGAGCAGGGTGTTTGCAAATGGGGGGGCACTGCGCCCCCCCCAACCCCCCCCGCTTTCTAAGCAGTGCAAAGCGTGCGAAGCTGTTTTAAGCCGTGCAAAGCGTGCTTCAAAGCCTGTTGAAGCCCATCACATTGCGTTTGCAAATGGGGTGAGGGGGGGGGCTGGGGCTGCGCCCCCCCCAACCCTCCCGCTTTTTTTCAAGCCGTGCAGAGCGCGCTTCAAAGCCCAAGAACTTGTTGACACCCATCATGTGAGCGTATGAATAATATGAAAACATAGAGGGAATGCAGCTTTTTACAAGGAAAAGCAAGAAAACACACCATAAAGATAGTTAATATTTCGAAACGTAGTATGAATCCCATGAAAATATGGACGGAATGTAGCTTTTTCCTACGAAAAACCAAGAAAGCGAATCACAAAAGAAGCATTAATAAGAAATCTGACGAAAAGTAGTATGAATCCGATGAAAATATAGAGGGAATGATAGAAACCAAGAAACGAACCAAATAGGGTTTTCCCTAGGAAAAAGAAGGAAAAGCAACGTACGCTATTACGTTTGACGAAATCCGTCCAAAATGTAAGCAGAATAGGGTTTCCTTAGGAAAAACCAACGAAAACCTCAAGGAAATGACACCCTAGGAAAAACCAAGGAATGCCTAAGGGAAATGACAGGAAATCCGTTTAAGATCTAAAAGAAATACGGTTTTCCCTATGGAAAACCAACGAAAACCTAAGGGAAATGACAGAAAATCCGTCCAAAATGTAAGGAAAGTAGGGTTTTTCCTAGAGAAAACCAAGAAAATCGATAAAAAAAAGACCCCCCAAAACAAAAGACCCCAAAGCGCCCTAAGCCCGAAACGTAACGGTAGAGGTCTCTCCATGGACCCTAAACCTGGCCATAACACCAAAACTCAACCTGTAAGCCTTAAGCCTAAGCACAGCTATGAGACCCAGCCTGGCCTCATCCCCAAATGACTCCAATCCCCCTGAAGAAGCCGACCCCCAAGCTGGGAATCGCCCCTAAACATGTGCAGCACTAAACTCAGCCCGGGCGCGAAAAAAGCCCCAGACCCAGCCCAGGGCAGTCCGGACAGGGTGCGAAAAAAACCCAAATCCTGAACAGGGTGCCAAGGGAGCCAATTCGGGGTGTAAAAAAAGCCCTGCCCCCTAAACCCTAAACCCTAGACCCTAGACCCTAAACCCTAAACCCATTTCAGGGCCCGCGGCCAAGAGTGAGCTGCAGCCCCAGAGACCCTAGCGCTGCGGGGCCGGGCCTTTCGGGCTTTTCGGTTGGGATGTCCCCCCTTATACTAACGGCTTGGGGTTTGGGGTTTAGGGTTTAGGGTCTCGGGTTTAGGGTTTAGGGTTTAGGGTTTAGGGTAATAATTTCTAGTAGTTTTTATGTTCCCACGTAGACTAGCAAGTGCTTTTCACGGTTTTTAGGTATTTGAGGGTTTTTGGGGTTATTAAGATTTAGGGTTTGGGGTTTAGGCTTTAGTTATTATAAGGTCTAGGGTTATTCAGGTTGAGGGTCGTGAAGGTTTAGGCTTTGGGGTTTAGGGTAGCGTTGTTCAGGTTCAAGGGCCTCTAGGGTAGGGGAGAGTTGGGCCAAGGGGGGGGAGGGGGGGAATAAAGAGGCCAAGGTTTGACTAGGTAATCGGATCTAAGCTGCTGGTTTCAGGACTTTAGGGTTTAGGGTTTAGCGCGGACAGACGCTGAGTCAAAAAGGGGGGGGGGGGGGGAGGAGGTTGGAACTTCACGTCAGCTGAGTCTTGCAAATGCTGAAAGCCTCATCAAGCCTCCCACAACATCTCAGTAATGTTTGTTAGTAGGAAACTGGGGACTTACGATTCCTAATTCGCGCCTTAGCGCCAGCAAGACATGGAACAAATCCAAGCTCTGAACCCTACCTCCCGCTTGCATGTGTCTCCTTGTTGTGATGATTCTCCCACTTGATTCGCCACCCCTTAACCCTAAACCCTAACCCCTAAACCCCAAACCCTAAACCCTAAACCCTAACCCCTAGACCCTAAACCCTGCCAAAGGTCGGCCTCCGAGGAGTCTGAAGAGGAGGAGGAGGCAGAAGAGGAAGATGAGTCGGAGGAGGCAGAAGATGACGCCGAAGAAGGCAGGGATTAAGGGTTAACGGTTTAGGGTTTAGGCTTTAGGGTTTATATAGGGTTTAGGTCTTCAAGGGAAGCAGCTCCATGCAATATAGGGGTCTGAATACTATTCCCTTATGGTCCCTTTGTAAATATACTATACTGACCCCCAAAACCCTATTGCACTGATTTAGGCCCCTACAGTAACCCACCCCAACGAGCTTGTCTTATACCTTGTTCATGTCTGATTTCAAGCCGCCGGGACCTTTCTTTTGAGACTAGTGCGGCATCTGCCGCTGCGGAAGCGGCACAGATCATTGTAGAATGTGCCAGAGATGCCGCGTGTCATTCCCTCGCAACGTATCGGTTCAAGAACCAGGAAGACACGACCAGGAGGGCTTTGGCTGTTTTGCCTTTGCAGTCTCTGCGTTCTGTTCTGGAGCAGCCAATGGCGTCCGCCTTTGCTGCCCAAGACCCGGCCTATGCCGCAACTGTCTGGAAGGACTGTTTCGGCAAGGAGGTCAACTTCACAGTGGTGGTGGCAGAGATGTTTAGGGTTTAGGCTTTAGGGTTTAGGGTTTAGGGTTTAGGGTTTAGGGTTTAGGGTTTAGGGTTTAGGGTTTAGAGACCCTTAACGAGTCTAGCACTGCGAGGGACACCGCAGGGGACGAGATGCCGGGGCCCAGAGATTCGGAAGAGCAAGCACGGCCCACGTGGCTGGCCCGGGTTTCTGAGTGGTTTGCCATGCTCGACAAGGTGCTGGACTTCAAAGCCTTAGGCAAGGCTTGTATGGCTGTATGGTCAGGGCGCAGACGGATACCGGCAGCCGAGAACCCTAAGGAGAGCACGGCGGGTATGAAATGCACGGAGTTCAAGGTGTGGTCTTCCCTGCTGTCCCAATGGTCTCCGGTCTTCAAGCAGATGATTACCTCGGAGGCCTTCACGGAATCCCGGCAGTCCCGGTTGGTCATCAAGGATTTCTCGCCCGTTGCGGTGGAGACCTTCCTCCGGTTCTTGCATTCTGGGAAGATTGAAGGCGAACTCAACGTACTTGTTGAGGTGGCTGCACTGGCGGGCAAGCACCAGGCCGACAAGCTTCCTCCACTTTGCAGGCGTGCCCTTCTGAGCGGTCTTAAGCCAAGCAATGCTTGCGATGTTTTTGCCGAGGCCAACTACTTTCAGCAGAGGCTCATGCGCGGTGATGCGTTGGCGCAGATCCTGATGCACCCCCCGGAGGCGCTCAAGGAGCGTCCCTCACTCGACCAAGAGCTGCTGGAAAAAAATCCTGAGTTCCAAGTTGCTTCGCATCGAGAGTCGGGATTTGTTGAAGATTCTCAAGGCCTGGCGCAGTCCGCCATCCGATGCAGAGGATGATACTCTGCAGCAAAAGGTCATGGAGAGCCACATCAATGCATTGTCGGCTGCATCACGACAGCCCGGCAGTCACACCCAAGATGTGCTGAAGTCGCTGCATGAGAAGTACATGCAGGGCCAAGGGCCTCTTTGTAGGATATTGGGTGGTAGTGACGTCCGACAGACCGGAGTGGCCATGCAGTGATTCGCCTCTTCGTGGCCTTGCCGGCAACACCAGTAACATTGAGCTTCGCCTTGGCTGAGTTGCTTGGATGCTACCACACTTTTCGGTCCGCCCCACGGGCTTCTCCCTTCAGAGGAAGCATATCGAGTGCGGCACATGTACAAGTGCTATGTTCCATGGACTGCTTGAACTGGGACATTGGAATGGAGTCTAAATACAGGCAGGCCATTGCCGCGAGTAAGGTTCAAACTAGCTGTTCTGGATGGTGCATTCACCGGCCAGCTGGTGATCCTCGGCATCTTGCAGCAGGGCTGACCGCCTGGAGGCAGAGGCCATCTGTAAACCTTGTCATCTCCTCAAAAAGCTGTGACAGGTCAAGCAGCTGCGAAAAGAGCGTGCAAGAAAAAATCAAGCCCCGAGCCACCCGGGATTCGTCGCAACCGATCGGATACTCAGCCCGAAGCAGACAAATGCCAGAGGGTGAAAGTTCAAATCGAAGCTGGTGGCTTGAACGACTCCGCACTCGATGGTTTAGGGGCTTTGGGGACTCTTACACTTGAGGGCTTCAGGCACGCTAGGACTTTAAGAAAGTTTCGGGTCTAGGGTTTACGATTTAGGGGTTAGGGATTAGGGTTAAGGGTTTAGGGTTTAGGGTTTAGGGTTTAGGGTTTAGGGTTTAGGGTTTCTGGTGGAGCGGCTTGACTGTCCAGGCTCTGATTCGGAGTCGTCTTCAGGCGGCGAGGCATCCGGCAGCCTGGCGTCTTGGCATGATCTAGGACCCCCAGTGATACCCTAAACCCTAAACCCTAATCCCTAAACCCTAAACCCTAAACCCTAAACCCTAAACCCTAAACCCTAAACCCTAAACCCTAAACCATCTTGCTGTTTTTTTTCAGGGTGAGGTTCCCCTGTAAGCCCTGCTAGAGACCGGGTTTCTGGGAACCCAATGATCTGATGATTGCGAACTACGAGTGCTGAAGCGAGCCCTTTTGAACTCGCCATTCCTTCCTCGGAATAGAAGGCATCCATGAGAGGGTCGGAAGCCGAGTCTACAGCAGGCTCCCCCGCATGATTTAGGGTTTAGGGTTTAGGGTTTAGGGTGTGTGCCACATTTTGCAAGTTGGAGGCTGCGACCTCCCCTGCGCAAGAGCCAGGCCAGTTGTGCTCCAAGTTCACATTTGGGGTGCGAAGTTTGGGGTCTTAGGGTTCAAGGTGGCTTCTGGCTGAGAGTGTCGGAGGTTCAACCTCAACACACAGTCTCGATTCTGCAACCTCAGGGAGTTTCAGAACCGAGAACACCCGTGCAGGCGGGGGCGTCACCAGAAACACCTCCTCCTTCTTTGGGGGTTGGCAAGGGTTCTAGGTAGGCCGCAAGGATATTTCATGTTGTTTTTCCCCTTGTGGGGTTCAAGAGCATCAATTAAAGGGTTTTAAAGGCCATCCGAAGGTTTGTCGGGGACTGCTGAGGACCCCCTGTGTAAAATAGCCCTGACAGAACCTCCGCCAGTACGTACGGGAGGAAATGTGCCGGGAGTTGGTCTAAGGTCCCAGTCAGGTGCTCCGGTTGAGTAATATCTACAGGTTCAACTCCGAAAGCCTGCACCTTCTTCCATTCAGAACACTCATAACACCCGGGTGGGGTATTTAGGCGAAAGCCATATCAGCACAAAGTCCTTCCGCCCTTAACAACCCCAGAACTCCAAACCTTTCTTGCGAAGTAGAGAGGCGGCGACAACCCGCCTGGCCCAGAGCCGGTGGCAAAAAGGACATGCTTTGGGAGGGTTCTGAATTATGTGGTTTGAGGTCCATTGGGCTAAGGGGGTTGGGGTTTTAGGGGTTTAGAGCTGCTTTGTCAGGGCTTAGATCTTCGATGGGTTTACAGAAGTCAAGGGTTTGCTAGGGTCGGGTCTTTGGCTTCGCGGTCGGCATTTTTGTTCATAGGCGTGCTGCCTTCTTTGGGATGGGTTTAGGGTTTTGGGGTTTGTGTCTTGGGATTGAGACAGGTTTGGGGGTTCATTTTGGTTTGAGGTCAGGGCCCAAGGATGTCTTCACACTGTGCCAGTTTGATGTGCTCTCCACGTGCAGTCTCCATGCATTTACTTTGCCGTTGCTTGGTCCCTTTTAAGGTGTCCTTCTCATCAAGCCTCCCTAAGCCCTAAACCCTAAACCCTAAACCCTAAACCTTAAATCAAAACCTAAATAAGGGGGCCTCTGACCTAGAGCACTCCCCCCCTCCCCCCCCCCTCCCCCATGCCTAAACCCTAAACCATAAACCCTAAACCCTAAACCCTAAACCCTAAACCCTAAACCCTAAACCCTATGCCTTTTCATGAGGGCAGCGGCCGCTCCAGCCACAGTTGGCCTAGAAGGCCAGCGACTCCGCCGGGCGTTTGCATTTGGGTCTAAGGCTTCGGGTTTAGGGTTTAGGGTTTAGGGTTTAGGGTTTAGGGGGGTTTAGGGGGGTTTAGGGTTTAGGGTTTAGGGTTTCGGGTTTAGGGTTTAGGGTTTAGGGTTGAGGCTCGCAAACTTTGGGGACTCTTCGCAGGGCAGGGCGCAGTACTGTTGTGCTTTGTCATCGGCTCGGTCCTCTGTCATGCTCTGAGTGTGTTTCGGAATTGCCTTTCCCCGTTCCTCCGCAACAAGGGGCCATAGCGACGTCACAAAGCAGGGATGCTTTCTAGAGTCAGGCTGTAAACCCTGAACCCTAAAGCCTAAACCCTAAACCCTAAACCCTAAACCCTGTATTACAAACCCATAAAACCCCCCTAAACCCTATGGTCAGCAAGATCAGGCAGCGGATCGGAGTCATCAGGCTCTTCCGAAAGTGTCCCGGGCTGAGCACTTTCCTCTGCCATTCGAACTGGCTGGTTCATAGTAGGGAATGAGGGAATGAGGCACCCTTTGAATCCCTTAAAGGGCATATAATATCGGGCCCTTATTCCCGCATTTCCTACTGAAACCCAGTTTGTGTAGAGGTGCAGCGTGCTTTGCTGCCTGTCACGCATCCTGGGGGTCGTTGGCATCACGGGCATGGCGATTTTGCATGGTCAGCTGAGCGAGGTTAATGTTCGAGTAAGCCTCGCATGCAAAAGACAACCAACCTACTAGTTGCTTAAGAACCCCCAAAAAGAAAAGAATAATCTCTATATTGCCCTTTTTAGGAGGACTTTTTTTTTTGCGGGGGCGGGGGGGGGGGGGGGGGGGGGGGAGGGTTCTTAAGCAATTCGTAGCAAACCTGTCGAATGCACGCCAGCAAGCCTCAAACGGATGCCAACAGGAGGTCCAGCAAGCAGAAGCCATGCCGCCCATGTCAGACAGACAAGATCAACGTCCGATTCGCATCGTTGCATGTGGACAGCTATCTCGGATCCTAAGCCCCCAGACCAAACGCCTGAACCTTCCTCCCCCCCCCAGACCCAAAGCACCCAGAGGGCCCATTGGTTGTCGATCGACTTTCACATCGTGAATCGCCCTGAACCTTGCATCCTGATCCCTGAACCCTATAGCCAAACCCTAAACCCCATATCCCAAACCCTAAACACTAAACCCCATATATCCCAAAAACCTAAACTCCACACCCCCATATCCTACAAAGCCCAGCAAACTGGAGGCCGACGGCCCCAAGCCGGTGCCGAAAGTCAAGCTGGTGAAGCTTGAGGCAAGTCAGGGGAGGTTAGGGGTTTAGGGGTTTAGGGTTGGGGAGTTTGGGGTGTAGGAGTTAAGGTTTTGGGAGCTTAGGGTGCAGGAGTTTAGGAGTTTAGGGTTCAGTGTTTAGGCTTCAGGGTTTCCGGTTTAGGTTGCTTAGGGTAAGTCAAGTGTTCGTAGTAAGCAATACGTTTTGTATCTCCCATGTATGTATATGCATGCGGCGGTGTAACAGTACCTGGTTTCTGCTAGGTTTCTTGGGGGGGGGGGGTTACTACGCCCACTCCGACGCATCGGCCTTTAGAACACTTTCGGGTCTTCCATGGTTTATCCCTATTTTTATTGAAAGTTAGCGTTTCGCCTAGGTGAAATGCTTCTTTTGGCAGAAAAAAGGGGTGATTTTGTATGTATTGTTTGCGAAACGTTGGGTTTTTGCAAAATTTTCAGGTCGTTCTGTTGGCCTTTTTAGGGCTTGTAGGGTTGTCTGGTTTTTGCAATTCGGGGCTTCTAGGGATTAGTGCTCTTTTGCTTTTGGGGCTTCGGTTTGTAGGCCAGCTGCTATACGAAGGCAGGAGGGAATCTCCAGCAGAGAGGGCCGCGCTCCACCAACGCCTACGAAGAGCCTTTGTGTGCCCGAAACCCGAGACGCCCTAAACCCTAAACCCTAAACCCTAAACCCTTCAACCCTCAACCCTCAACCCTCAACCCTCAACCCTCAACCCTCAACCCTCAACCCTCAACCCTCAACCCTACGCCGGGACCTTCCTCCCCTCCCCCCACAAAACAGATCTTCCAGTTCCAGGCTAGGGCTCTACGAGACTACGGGCCTACATTCCTTATGTTGGGACCCGAAAACTCCCTAAACTCCCTCAACCCCCCTAAACCTTCCTAGGCCCCCAAACCCTCTAACCCCTAAAGCCCCTAAACAACAAACTCATTAAACCCCAAACCTCCTCAAGCCCTAAACCACCTAAACCACTCGGGTCTTTAAGCCGTAAACCCCTAAACCCCTAAACCCCTACACCCCTAAACACCTAAACCCCTAAACCCCTAAACCCCTAAACCCCTAAACCCCTAAACCCCTAAACCCCTAAACCCCTAAACCCCTAAACCCCTAAACCCCTAAACCCCTAAACCCCTAAACCCCTAAACCCCTAAACCCCTACACCCCTAAACCCCTAAACCCCTAAACCCCTAAACCCTAAACCGCAGCTCCGAGGCCAGCCGACCCGTAGAGGCCGCGGTCAGGACAAAGCCGATTCTGGAGCCCGCGAAGCGGGAGTACCGGTCAGGAGACCCAGGTTTAGGGTTTGGGGTTTAGGGTTTAGAGTTTAGGGTTTAGGGTTTAGGGGACGCTAAACCCTAAACCCTACAACCCCTCAACCTTGACAGCTGAGTGGTGCCCTTTTGCCTTATACAAAAGTACCACCACACAGGCTGCCCTTTGGGATGGTTTAGGGTTTCGAATTTCGGGTTTAGGGAAGTCACGCCACAACTGAGAGACGGAATTCTTCTTCTCCCAAGGATGGAAGTAGGACAGAGCATCGGATGAACACCTTGCCTCGGTCCATGAAATGTCCTACGTCTTCTTGCGAAAGCCCTACGAAAAAAGATACTTTTAAGGGCCTAGTTAGAGCTTCCTTACTATGGCTTTAGACTCCAAGAACGTTGGTCTTCTTCTAGGGTGTAAACCCGAACTCCCGAAGAAGCCCCAGATGGCGAAAGCACTGAGCATTGAAATCCCTAAGCCGCAGGGTTTAGGGTTTAGGGTTTAGGGTTTAGGGTTTAGGGTTTAGGGTTTAGGGTTTAGGGTTTAGGGTTTAGGGTTTAGGGTTTAGGGTTTAGGGTTTAGGGTTTAGGGAGCCTCACCTAAAGAGCCCGAAACTCCTGAATCCCAACGGAGGAGGACCCTGAGCCCGAAGACTTCAACTTCATCCCTAAGCCCTAAGTAAACCCTAAACCCTAAACCCTAAACCCTAAACCCTAAACCCTAAACCCTAAACCCTAAACCCTAAACCCTAAACCCCAAACCCTAAACCCTAAACCCTAAACCCTAACCCCTAAGCCCTAAACCCTAAACCCTAAGCCCTAAACCCTAAACCCTAAACCCTAAACCCTAAACCCTAAACCCTAAACCCTAAACCCTAAACCCTAAACCCTAAACCCAAGCCACGAGGCGACGGCAGCCTCCACCGCCGCCGCCCCCTCGTCGCTCAGGCCAGCGCCGCCGGGGCGAAGATGTCAAGGCTGGGCATCCCCACCGACCTGGGGTTTAGGGTTTAGGGTTTAGGGTTGAGGGTTGAGGGTTGAGGGTTTAGGGTTTAGGGTTTAGGGTTGCCAAATCCTAAACCTTTTGAGGGTCTAGGGTTTAGGGTGTAGGCCTCAGGGTCTACAGGGCCAGACCTGCATCCTCCATGCACCCCTTCGTGTTTTTGACTACAAGGGGCCCCTACTGATGCTGGGGAGTCGCAAAGCCCTGAAGACCTTAAGCCCGAAAGCAACCTCGACCTCCAAGAACTAAGTGTCCTAAGCTCCAGAAGCATAAAAGCCCGAAAGCCGCCGAAAGCCCAAAACCCTGAACCTGTAACTTCGGAACCGCAGACTATTACTCACTTGGCATGGTCAAAGGTGGGCAGGAATACCGGTCCCTTGCAAGACACAGACTGCGCTCGCAAACCCTAAACCCTAAACCCTGAACCCTGAACCCTGAACCCTGAACCCTGAACCCTAAACCCTAAACCCTAAACCAAGGCAGCACAGCACCGGAACGGCTGTCATGATGCACCCGCGGGCAGGTTGCTCGCGGCAAACACACACAGGGGCCCAGCAAAAGCACGTAAGCATAAGGCTTCTACAAGCAGGTTTTTCCAGAATCCTTCTTATACTAGTAGGGCCATTATACCCCAATAGTAGGATCCGTATGTTTTTGCTCTTTTTTTGGGCCCTTAACAAAGAGCGGCAGCAGCTGGGCATAAGTGTCTCATTGCAAAGGTTAGTGTTCATTTTGGCCGCCCAGCTCAGGCGCTCAATCAGCCAACGGGACAGTGAAACACTAAACCCTAAACCCTAAAGCCCCTGGGCCTTGAGCCCTTCGGGTCAGCGCAAGGGGTCCCCCCCAGAGAGCCTGTCGTTTCAAGACCCAGAACTTGATCTGCAAGAAGGCTCAAGGATCTGTGGGGGGGGAGACGCCTAGGCCCTAAACCCTAAACCCTAAACCCTAAACCCTAAACCCTAAACCCTAAACCCTAAACCCTAAACCCTAAGGCTCCGCCCTTCGCAGGCGGCACATGTGGCAGATGTAGCGTGGCCTCACGTCATGTCTCTCTTCCCTTCGCAGTTCGCCGTAGGGCCTTCCTTAGGGTTTAGGGTTTAGGGTTTAGGGTTTAGGGTTTAGGGTTTAGGGTTTAGGGTTTAGGGTTTAGGGTTTAGGGTATTTTCTTCCTTCCCCAGATGTTCAAGCACAATTACCTGCTTAGCTCAGATCTCCACCTAACGGGGACCCGCATTCCACGCCTAGAGATTCTCAGGTCAAGCTCAGATGGATTTGAATCGGGCGTCGTGTAAGGGGGTTTCATCCCCTCCCCTAATAAACCCCCCTACCCCCTAATATTCCCCCCCCCCCCCCCCTCCCATACAAAAAACATGCAAACAATGGGGGGGGGGGGGGGGGGGGGTGGGGGTATTTCAAATTTGGGGGCTAGGGGAGTTTGAACCCTAAACTCTAAACCCTATACCCCAAACCCTACACGCTAATCTTCAGGGTTTAGTGTTCAGGAAACCTCCTTCGCCCACTCGAAGGTGCTTGAAGTGCCTTCGTCTGCCCACGTGACAGGCTTAGCCCCTGCTTGACTCTGCCATCAAGGGATGAAGACTCGCACCCCTGAGGTTGTACCCCTAAAGGTTCCCCTTAATGTACTCCTAATACGGCCCTGTACTCCTGTAGGGATCCTCAACAAGGAGCCCAAAATCTTAAGGGTCCAAGGCAGTAGAACGGATTGCTTAAGAACCCCCCCCCCCGCCAACCCCCAAAAAGTACGAAGTAGTCTTCCTTATTTAAGGGCAATATAGGGATTATTCTCTTGCATATTCGGGGCTTAAGAAGAACCCCCCAAACAACACTAAATGTTCTGCCTTACAAGGACAATAAATACATAATTATATATATATATATATACATATAGGATTGCTATCATTTTGGGGGGAAGTTCTCAAGCAAGTAGTAGTCTACAGGCCAAGCAGAGACCCTTACGGAGTCCCGCGGGGGGGTGTCTGGGTTTGGAGTCAGCAGGGATGCCTCAGGCAGATGTGCTAGGGCCCCAGGAAGATGGTTTAGGGTTTGGGTTTAGGGTTTAGGGTTTAGGGTTTAGGGTTTAGGGTTTAGGGTTTAGGGTTTAGGGTTTAGGGTTTAGGGTTTAGGGCTTAGGGCTTAGGGTTTAGGGTTTAGGGTTTAGGGTTTAGGGTTTAGGGTTTAGGGTTTAGGGGTCAGGATTCAGGATTCAGGGTTTAGGGTTTAGGGTTTAGGGTTCGGGTAACTAGGGCCCGGGGTTAGGCCCTTCTTTTTAGGGTTTAGGGTTTAGGCTACTCTTGGGTCTAGCAGCAAAGATATAGCACTAAGCCCGACAATCCTGTAACCCTTTTTAAGCCCTGTTAAGTCCTAGAAGCCCTAGAACCATGAAGCCACACCCGGCAACGCAACCAGATACATCTACACCCCATAAACCCTATAAGCCCTACAAACCCCATAATCCCCATAAACCCGAGAAGCCCCACAAACCCTTTCTACTGTAAGCCCTATACACCCTCAAAACCCTACAAGGCATTTAAAGCCCCACAAACCCCATAAACCCTGTAAACCCCACAAACCCGAAGCCCTAAACCCCGAACTCTATCACTAACCTTAAACCCTAGACCCTACACCCTATAATCTCTATAATCCCCATAATCCCTATATAATCCATATAACCCAAATAATCCCTACAATCCCTGTAAACCCTCCTGGGCTCTCCTCCTCACCCAAAACCCAAAACCCAAAACCCAAAACCCTCAGCCCAGGCTCCGCAACTGCCGCAGTGGCGCTACATGGCCCCCGATGGCCAGGCCTCGCCCGCTTGAACCTCTTTATTTCTGAGGGTTTAGGGTTTCGGGCTTCAGGATTTATAGGGTTTAGGATTCAGGGTTTAGGATTTAGGGTTTAGGATTCAGGGTTTGGGATCTTCGGATTCAGGGTTTGGGATCTTAGGGTTTAGGGCTTCAGGATTTCGGGTTTAGGGCTTAGGGCTTGCCGGGGCTTAGGGCTTAACGTTTTCAGGGCTTAGAAGGGTTTAGGATAATCACTGACTTCGGATTCAAGGGTAAGGGCTCCGGGGTTCGGGCGTTTAGAGCCCAAGATAAGCCTGGAGGACTCCGGGACAAATGTGCTGAAGCTCAGGAGTTCGAGGCTGTGGTAGGTATTTTTTCGTGCCCAGGATGAGATTTGGGGTTTGAGGCAGCGGGCATAGGCCTCAGGGTGTACCCCCCCCCCCCCCACTTTTTCTGCAAAGATTGTGCAATCGTACTCTTCGCGCGCTCACTATATCTACTTCAGCTCCTACGCATTCACTATACTATGAACCGTCGGTACAACACCCCCTAATGATACACCCCCTGACCCAGCTAATACTGAAGACTCCCACTGTACTCCTCCTAACAGTCGAGAATATTGGCAATACTGGCATTAGAGGGTGCAGGTGGTGGCCTAAACCCTAAACCCTAAACCCTAAACCCTAAACCCCAAACCCCAAACCCCAAACCCTAAACCCTAAACCCTAAACCCTAAACCCTAAACCCTAAACCCTAAACCCTAACCCTAAACCCTAAACCCTAAACCCTATAAACCCTAAACCCTAAAAACCCCCCCCCCCCCCCCGAACAGGAGCGCCTTGCGATCCGATCTGGTCCTGGGATGGATGCGCCGACTACGGGACTGTCCTTGGCCTCCGGGGAGGCAGGGGTTTAGGGTTTAGGGTTTGGGGTTTAGGGCTTAGGAGTTCGGAGTTCGAGGGTTTAGGCCTGAGGGTGCACCAGGCGTAGGCGCACTCCTAGCCTGAACCGAACCCAACGGGTAAGAGGCACTTGTTGGGAGTTTACTTTCGTGCCTCACAAAAAAGGCAGGGAACAGAGTAGGCCATTATTCCCCTTTGTTCAACGTTCAAGTTCCCGTATGAGCCCCTTTAAATATAAAAGGGTGAATACAGCCTGAGCCCAAGGCCCCCCAAGGCTTGACAGAAGTCCCGGCAGGGACCATAGTCTAGACCCAGGCATACGCTGCCTTATATGGACTTTTACCTGATGAGTGTATGTAGGGCTCCTCATACTTCACGGTGGGTGCATACATGGGACGTCGTTCTGGGATGATTGCAATAAAGAATCCTGGATCATATGTGGTCACCCAGTTCCCTAGCCATGTTGTCGCCGGCCTTTCTTCATCTTCATGACCACGCATGACGTATCCGCGGAACACGCCTGAGCGCAGATTGCCCAGAGATTGTCTGGGGCCATAGCGTTCGTCATCCTAGCTCCACCCGACCCCTGAACAGCAGCCCCCTCCAAAGTCCGTAGGCCCCAAACCCTAAACAAAAATCCCCAGAATGAAGCCACAGAGCTCAAATCCGAAACCCTAAGCCCTAAACCCTAAACCCTAAGCCCTAAGCCCTAAACCCTAAACCTCCCAAATCCTTGCCCAGGTGTTCCCTGTGAGCCAGGAAAGGCCCGGGGACGGCGGCGTGCTGTTCTTGAGGCCGGGGATTGACCAGTCAGCCGTCACAGCTCCCTCGTAACGTTAGGGTTTAGGGTTTAGGGTTTAGGGTTTAGGGTTTAGGGTTTAGGGTTTAGGGTTTAGGGTTTAGGGTTTAGGGTTTAGGGTTTAGGGTTTAGGGTTTAGGGTTTAGGGTTAGGGTAGGGTTTAGGGTTTAGGGTTTTAGGGTTTAGGTCTTAGGTTTAGGTTTTAGGGTTTAGGGTTTAGGGTTTAGGGTTTAGGGTTTAGGGTTTAGGGTTTAGGGTTTAGGGTTTAGGGTTTAGGGTTTAGGGTTTAGGGTTTAGGGTTTAGGGTTTAGGGTTTAGGGTTTAGGGTTTAGGGTTTAGGGTTTAGGTACAGGGCTTAGAGTGCTTTCCTCTCTACAAGAAGGGGCTTGGTAGCCCAGTGATACCCTTTTCCTTTGTTTGTGCAAGGTTCCCTTAGAAAGTAACCAACCAAAACATCGGGTGCCCTTACTGCAATTTTGTTACAATCTGGTTACGGGGCTACCAAGAAGGGTGTTGTAAACATGCTGTTTTTTGACCACACACCCAGGTAAGCTCCGAAGTTCCCAACACCGCGGAAAGTGTTGGAGCTTAGTTGGTTTAGTGCTCCGGGCTTCAAGTCCCCGAAGCCCCGAAGCCCTGTTGCCTCTGAGTATGCCTGAGCTGTAAATTTAAGAGCCTCCGGCTCAAGCCGCGCTGGAGCATAGTTGAAAGGTCTAAACTCGCTCGTCGGCTCAAAGGATGCTTTCCTCATCGCATGGTTCGAAGATCATCCCAGCCTGCTCGGCAGAGTTCTGTGAAACGTTGGGGGGGTAGGGGGTAGCACCAGGACCCAAACAGTTTGGGAGCACCTTGAAAGAAAAAGACAGGGGGGTGGGGGGGGGGGGGGGAAGGGGGGGGGTAGGGGGGGGGGGTAGGGGGGGGGTAGGGGGGGGGGGTAGGGTAGGGGGCCCCTAACCCCCTACCCCCCCCCCCCCGCGTTTTGGGGGGGTAAGGAGGGAAAGAGGGAGGTTTTCACCTCCTCAAACCAACCCAACACGCCGCCAGGGTCGGCGGACACCCTGAACCCTAAACCCTAAACCCTAAACCCTAAACCCTAAACCCTAAACCCCACGAGCAGATCACGGGTGCTCTCTTGGGGTCAGGATCGCGGATGGCCGCGGATGGGTGCTGCAGACATGTCTTTTCGGATGTTCCCCCCTTATACTACCCAGATCTTCCAAAACCCCTTAATTAAGGAGTATACCCTAATTTATACTAAGGATCCTTATTTGAATTAGGGTATATTCCTTTATTCACCCGCAGCACGTATGGTTTGCCCACACCCATTGGTTGCACGTATGGTCTGCCCAGGGTCTAGGGTTTTTGGTTTAGGGTTGAGGGTTTAGGGCTGAGGGTTTAGGGTTTAGGGTTTTTGTGATCCGGTGGGTTGAGGGAGGGTTGAGGGTTGAGGGTTTAGATTTAGCGGTTTTCGGTTTTGGGGTTTAGGGGTTGTATGATTTAGGGTTTAGGGTTTAGGGTTTTTGTGATCCGGTGGGTTGAGGGTTGAGGGTTTCACTGTTTAGGGGTTGTAGGTTTTAGGGTTTAGGGGTTTTATGGCGTGGCTCTCAGACCGGGTTCAAAAGGGGTCTTAGGGTTTAGGGTTTAGGGGTTGTAGGTTTTAGGGTTTCGGGGTTTTAGGGCTTAGGGCTTTGTGATCCTAGCGCGCGGGCACACATCGCGTATACGCACACTCGCGTCGCCAACTCCGGAATTCGTGTCATGAAGTTGCGTGTCCTGTCAAGCCCTCCGGAGTCTCTTGTGCTGGGCATGAACCCTCATCACCAGCCCTAAACCCGAAACCCTAGACCCTGAACCCTAAACCCTAAACTCTAAGAGCACTTTTAAGGATTTAGGGTTTAGGGTTTCGGGTTTAGGGTCGTGAGCCGTATTCATCCGTATTGTTTTGCACGCTGATTCACGTGTACCCTCTGCAACAATTAGTCCGCTGGATCCCCCGGGTTTGATTTCATATGGAGCCAGAAGGAAGATGCAACACGTGTGTTGCAATGCGATCCTTACGTGACTTTCTGGTTGCTGCTTGGGCCAAGCATCGACCTGGATGACATTCACTCTACGTGTCATGTCGAAGCAGAGTGAGACCACAGAACACCTCTCACATGCTACTCATGGCTCTCTGAGCCCCCCCCCCCCCCCCCCCCAAACTCTAAACCCGAAGCATAGTCGAGCTTAGGACTGCCTGTTCCCAGTGCCAGGCACCCCTGAACCCTGAACCCCAAACCCTGAACGCTAAACCCCCTAAACCCTAAACTCTAAACCCTAAACCCGAAACCCCAAACCCGCTAAACCCCCTAAACCCCCTAAACCCCCTAAACCCCCTAAACCCCCTAAACCCCCTAAACCCCCTAAACCCTAAACCCTAATTGCTAAACCCCCTAAACCCTAAACCCTAAACCCTAAACTCTAAACCCTAAACCCTGACCCTAAACCCTAAACCCTGATTGCTAAACCCCCTAAACCCTGAACCCTAAACTCTAAATTCTAAAGCCTTTGCCAGGTCTTCGATCGGAGGTGCGGCCGCACTCGCAAGCGGCGAGTTCGGCCGCTGTGCGTGCCTTACCAGGCAATCTTGTGCTTCGCAGCCGTGAAGGGTCTAGGGTTTAGGGTTTAGGGTTTAGGGTTTAGGGTTTAGGGTTTAGGGTTTGGGGTTTGGGGTTTGGGGTTTGGGGTTTGGGGTTTGGGGTTCAGGTTGCGGCAAAACTATCCCAAAAGGTTGATGTTTAGCTCCCCTCAAGAACATGGACAAGTAAGTGCTGTAGGGCTTGCAGAGGAAGATGCACGCGCCAGCTCAGTGGTGCTCTTTTGCCCTTTTTTCAGTTTCTAGGTTCCCGTATAAGAGTAACCATTCCCGAACAGGGTACCCTTCTCATAAACATGGTTACTCAACCCTACAAGCCCTAAACCCTAAACCCTAATCATAATATGGCTCTTGAGGTACCAGTCTTGTCTTTACAGGAGGCATCCACCAGCACATCCCTGAAGTCGACGTCAACAGAATAGGGTTCAGGGTTCGGGGCCGAGGGTTCAGGGCTTAAAGGGTTTAACACAGAGTGTGGTATCCTGGCTTTTTGGCCATGCCACTTGAGATGTCTTGGTTCCTGTACGAGTAAGTGTACGTATAGACCACGTAGAGAGAGAGGGAGAGAAAGGCCCCATGAAAGAAAGAAAGAAAGACAGGCAGAAAGAAAGAAAGAAGGAAAGAAAAAAAGAGAGATCGAGGGCCTCTGCCGCCGTGAAGAACCAGAGTTGAGAACCCTTTTGTGCCATCCCCTCATACATCTCTTTGGCGTGATGGCCACGTCCGCTGTCATCACTTCACCGGCACCTGCTGCGGTAGAGACGGCCACGCCGCAGGCGAAAGAGGTGGTCTTTTGGAAGCTTGCCTGGGCATTTTTGAAGGTTTGGGGGTTTAGGGTTTAGGGTTTAGGGTTTAGGGCTTTTGCAACTGTGGCTCTTCAGGCCCCTGTATCCCCAGACAATGCCATCACGGAAACTTGAGGGTTGTGTTGCAGTTCCCTCCGACTGCAGACAACCCCCCAAATACGATTGGTTTAGGGTTTGGGGTTTAGGGTTTCAGGGTTTAGGTTTCTAGTTTCGCAGCGAGGGGTGTACCTGGAGAGTTTTTCAGGAGTGTTGTGCGGCTGATGCAGTCGGCACCGGCCACTGCACGCTTTAGCAGAAGGAAAATCCGGGTCCTCTACCGCACATCCCCCCCCCCCCAACAAAAAAGACATGCGAACAGAAGTACTACTCTGAAGTCATTATCGTGAACCGGCAGCATGACCCGCATTATTGCCGGTAGTATGCCTAAACCCACAAAGTACGTAACATAAAAGGCCCTATTTATGGGTTTTCGTTTTTTTTTTTACGTGCTGCGGGGCTGCACGAAAGCTTGTCATTGCGTTTTTTTACATTCTGAGTTCACCCTTCCGGGCTAACCCTAAACCCTAAGCCCTACACCCTAAACCCTAAACCCTAAACCCTAAACCATTCAGGAGTGTCCGGGATGCGGGGTTTACGCGCGGGCTCCAGGGCTTGACCTTGCGCAAGCAAAGCCTTTGGGGCTTACGTAGGTTTCGGGTTCAAGGCAAGGCTCGGGGCTTAGGGCTTAGGGCTTAGGGCTTAGGGTTTAGGGTTTAGGGTTTAGGGTTTAGGGTTTAGGGTTTAGGGTTTAGTGTTTGGTTTTTAGACTTTAGGGTTTAGTGCTTGGCGTTTAGGGAACCACCCAAACACGCCACGAGGAGAGAGGCAGCAGCCGCTGCAATTGGTGGATGCTTGGTCTCCCAGTGTGGTACCTTTTTTCCCTTCTTTGGTTCAAGGTACCCTTAAAAGGAATTCAACCCAAACAGGGTATCCCTAAACCCTAAACCCTAAACCCCTAACCCCCAAACCCTAAACCCAAAGCCCTAAACCCTAAACTTGGCCCTAAGCCTTATTTTGACATGGTTACTGGGCTACCAAGGATCGATCCACGCCCTCATCGAGCAGCCGATTACGACTCCGATCGAGGCGGCCATCACGCAGACCCAGGTGAACGGGAGCCTTGGTCCTTTCCTGGCACACTGGAACCCTAAACCCCCTAAACCCCCAAAACCCCCTAAACCCCCAAAACCCCCTAAACCCCCAAAACCCCCAAAACCCCCTAAACCCCCTAAACCGCCTGAACCCCCTAAACCCCCTAAACCCCCTAAACCCCCTAAACCCCCTAAACCCCCTAAACCCCCTAAACCCCCTAAACCCTAAACGCCTAAAACAGCTTTCGACAAGGAAGGGCTTCATTTGGAACTTCAAGGAGCTGTTCCGACAAGGCGCAGTTCTCGGGCTGTTACATGGTCCCTTAGTTGGGCCCTTGAAAGGGGAGCCCTTACAGGTTTAGGGTTTAGGGTTCAGGGTTCAGGGGTTAGGGTTTAGGGTTCAGGGTTCAGGGTTTAGGGGTTATAGGGTTTAGGGTTTAGGGTTTAGGGGTCTTAAGGCCTAAGACCATACTACAGTCTCAATCTAAGGGTCGCTACATGGTCCCTTTGTATGGGCCCTTAAAAGGGACCCCTCGTATACCGCGTATATACCATCTGTGTGCCTCTGTCCCGCCTCAGCCCCAAACACTAAACCCTAAGCCCAGACCCTGAATCCCTAACCTTCACCCTAAACTCAACTCCTGAACCGTAAACCGCTAAAGCCCTGAACATCCAAAGCCAAAAGACCTCAAACCCTGAGCCAAAAAAACCAAAACCCCCAAAACTCCTCAAAGCACCCGAAACCTTCAAACCCCTCAAAACCCTCAAAACCCTGAACACCCCAAACCCTGAACCCTAACCCTAAACCCTGAGCGCTACAAATTGTGTCTTGGCAGGTGCCCTGTACCGTGCTCTACCCACTGCCTTGGCGGGTGCTGTCCCAAAAGCAGTGCACCTTGACCCGGCGTAGTCCACCTGTCACCGAGTTTCGGGTGGGGTTTTGGAAGTCAAAGGGGGTTTAGGGTTTAGGGTTTTAGGGTTTAGGGTTTAGGGTTTAGGGTTGGGCTGTTGGGTTTTAGGGATCAGGGTTTAGGCTTTGGTTGTTTTTGTGTCTCGTGTATTTGTTGCCCGGTGATGGGGGCTGCCTTGCTTGCATTCACCCACCTTCCCAAGCTGCACTCTGGGCTTTCTGGGAGGCCCCGCCCCAATGTGAAACACGGCCAGGAGGGGTAGCGAAGGCCTCCCATTGTGGGCCTTGTAGGGCTTTAGGGAGTTCAGGCCCCCCGAAGCCCCTCTTAAAGCTCAACTCGACCCAAGCCTTTCAACATCCCAAAGCATCTTCCGACCGTCTTCAGCTCCGAAGCGCTCATCTGGGGGTTTAAGGCCCGGGCTAAGCTTATCCTAGTAGTAGAGTAGATAATCTTTAACCTTTTTGGGTTAATGTAACCCCCTTATCTTCCCAAAGGTTAACCTTGAATTCCCCCAGGTCACCTCATTTCGGTTTAGGGGCCAAGGTTGAGTCCTAAGTTTGTTTGTAGCGTTTAGGGTTGAGGGTTTTTTGTTTGGGGTTTAGGGTTTAGGGTTTTGGGTTTAGGGTTTAGGGTTATATGAAGCCTACTAGGGCTTTCAGGGTTTAGGGGCAGCCCTGAGGATCCACTACTCCATTCTGAACATGTACATCAACACATTCGCCCCCGAGGGCGATATGAGAAAGGCCGATGGCCGAACGGCCACGGGGATTGGCAGCTGTGGCTGCATTGGCTAGGGGTCCAAGTGCCCAGGAAGTTGTTACTGTTACTGTTGCTGTTGCTGTTGCTGTTGCTGTTACTGTTACTGTTACTGTTCCGGGTTTGGGGTTTAGGGCTTGTAGGGCTTCGGGTTTACGATTTCAGGTTCTAGGGTTTAGGGTTTAAAGTTTTAGGGTTTGTCTCGATTGGATTGGCAACCGACGTCCGGGATGAGCTGTTGCACCGGGTCTAAGGTTGCAGCGCTCACTGCACCACAACATGTGGGGACGGAGCAGGTTCTTGGTGAGGCGCTCACCTGAAGCAACCGTTCCGTGAAAGTCTTCCAAGCTCTCGACACCCTAAAAACCCGTCGAACTCCTTCGCAGGTTTTTTTTTCAGACCGGCAACCAATAACTGTCGAACCTCTTGGCTAAAACCCAGAGGAGTTTCGGGTTTAGGGTTTAGGGTTTAGGGTGTAGAGTTTAGGGTTTAGGGAAACAGCCCGCAAAGCCCGACAAACAGAAGGCATGGCCACGGGGGCCTCCGAAGTCCTTCTGGTGACTCAGCTGCTCCGTTTCTAGCTGCGTGGGCCTGAGGACTAGAAGGGTTTAGGGTTTAGGGTTTAGGGTTTAGGGTTTAGGCATGGCCCCTTGATATGGTCCCTTTCTTTAAAGGGTTGAGGGCCCATACCAAGGAGGGACCATGCAACTACAACAAGAATACGGGTTTAAGCCATGTCAAAGATTGGAGGGTTCGAGGTTCTGAGGGGTTGGAGTTCAGGGGTTTGGGGGGCCTAGGCCCCGTGACTCGTTCTTTGTGAGGCATACTGCCACAAGGGTTCCTGAGTTTAGGGCTTGGGGTTTCTCGGGCTTCGGGTTCAGGGCTTAGGGGAAATCGGCACCTCGGCACCCGCTGCCTTGGTCCCGAGAAGAAACCCCCGAATCCCAGCGAAGAATTCCCCTAAACCCGCGGAGCTAAACCCCTAAACCTAGAACCCCTAGAACCCCCTCTGCAAGTTGCCCAACCTAGCCATGGTGGACCCAAATCCCCCAACAAAGCCCGCAAATGACCCGACAAGACCCTCCGGTGTATCAACCCTGCGCCCTAAGCTCTGAACCTTGACCCTATGAACCCTAAATCTTAAATTTTAAGCCCTATAAAGCCCTAAACCCTAAACCCTAAACCCGGAGGTGAACCCAATCAACTTTGTAAAGTTCCGCATGCAGAGACCTGCGCCCCGGCCTCGTCTGGAGACTTTCAAGGGGTTTGGAGGGGGTTTAAGGGATTCTAGAGGGGCTTTAAGAGGTTTTAAGGGGCCTGAACAGGTTTTAAGGGGGTCTTAAGAGGCTTTAAGCGGTTCTAAGGGATAGCGGCTGAGGGTT